GAAAGATAGTGACTACCTATTTTACAGGGCTGATGAGGATTACATGAGTTAATTTCTCTCTTTCTCACACACACACATACACACACACAAACTTAAATATTTCCTGGCACACAGTAAGCATTTAGTAAATGTAAGCTATTCAGAGGACTATTAATCATACAGTTGCCATGAGCCAGATTCGAGGGCAACTAACAACAATATACACTCAAGTTTGCTTTATAAAAGCTGTAAGTCCTTGATCAAAGTCAATCCTTGTCCTGAACACAGATATCCAATGTCAGAACTGAGATGAAATAAGAACGGTCAGAGAAATTTAATTTCAGTAAGGAATGGTTTCTCAAATGCACAAAATTCATTCCCTTCCCCCAGATTAAGACCACTTTTTCAAGGAGTACAGAGAAGATAATCATTCAACAAGATTTAATTACCGACCACAGAGCAAAATAAGGGCACGGTCCCTGCTTTTAAAGAGATTCAATAAGGGGGTGGGGGGAGACGAACACAATCTTAGTACAGAGAAACTGTGATAAAAATCAGAAAAACATACATAGTTCAATGAAAAGAGTAAGTTATAGAATCAATTTAAAAGTATAGGAAAGTCTCATGAAATCATAACACAGGATTTGAAATGCTTACTTTTATCACTGGTTAAGTAGTAGAATTTTCACCTTCTATGTGGGAGACCCAGGTTTGACTCCTGGCCAATGCACCTCAAGCACAGCCACCACCCATGTCAGTGAAGGCTTGTGTGACGCTGAACAGGTTCAGTAGAAGTTCCAGACTAAGACAGACCAGGAATAATGGTCTGGTGATCTACTGCCAAAAAAAAAAAAAAAAACAGCCAATGAAATCTCTATGGATCACAAAGGTCTGTTCCCATTGTACACAGGGTTGCTATAAGTGGGCACTGACTGGAAGGCAGCTAACAACAATTTTATCACAGATTGTGGGAAGGAGATATAGAGAAATCGGGTTGATACAAGAAATACTAAGGAAGAAAGTTTAAACAAGAAAGCGGTGAAGGAGGACATGCAAGCCACAGTATAAGAACAAATTATATTCTTAAAGTTTACGTTCTACCTCCCAGTGTAGTGAGTAGTGTCTGGGATCCTAAAAGCTTATGAGTGAATGTCTAAGACACAACTACCGGTCTCTATTCATCTGGAACAAAAGAAAAAGAAAGAAACCCAAGAATCATAGAAAACCGGATTACAGGGCTGTCTCCACAAACTACTGCCTCCTCTACTTTGAGACCAGAAGAACTAGATGGTGACTGACTACCACTACCAAAAGTTCTGATCAGGATCCTAAAACAAAGGGAGAAAAAAGTACAATATCCCTATTCATCCTATGTACACATCAGTATCATATTTCCAGAGAAATATAAGTTATTTAAAACCTTAGGCACAAAAAAAAAAAAAAAAAAAGATTTTATTTAATGTGCCTTAGTACGTAAGACAAAAGCAAACAACTTAAAGTCTTTAAAAAATAAATAAAAAACATGGACGTTATCAGTGATGGCTTTACTATGTCTCTAAGACAAAAACATCATAAAGCCATCACTGAAAAGTCCATATTTTTTATTTCACTTTTTTAAAAAAGACTTTTAGCTTTATTATGTTTCTAAGACAAAGTCCTACTGGCATGTCTGTCAGTTTGTTGTACTGTTGTGACTTGTGTTACTGTGATGCTGGAAGCTATGCCAATGGTATTTCAAATACCAGCAGGGTCACGGTCACCCAGGGTGGACAGGTTTCAGCTGAGCTTCCAGACTAAGACAGACTAGGAAGAAGAAAGTGGCTGTCTACTACTGAAAAAAATTAGCCAGTGAAAACCTTATGAATAGCAGTGGAACATTGTCTGATATAGTGCCAGAAGATGAGCTCCTCGGGTTGGAAGCCATTCAAAATATGACTGGGGAAGATCTGCCTCCTCAAAGTAGAATTGATCTTAATGACATGGATGGAGTACAGCTTTCAGGACCATCATTTGCTGATGTGGCACGACTCAAAATGAGAAGAAACAGCTGCAAACATCCATTAATGACTGGAATGTGGAATGTACAAAGTATGAATCTAGGAAAACTGGAAGTTGTCAAAAATGAAATGGAACACATAAACATCAATATCGTAGGCATTACTGAGCTGAAATGGTATTGGCCATTTTGAATCTGACAATCACATGGTCTACTATGCCAGGAACGACAAACTGAAGAGCAATGGCATCGCATTCATCATCAAAAAGTACATTTCAAGATCTACCCTGAAGTACAATGCTGTCATGACAGGATAATACCCATATGCCTACAAGGATGACCAGTTAATACAACTATTATTCAAACTGACACACCAACCACTAAGGCCAAAGATTAGGAAATGGAAGATTTTTATCAACTTCTGCAGTATGACATTGATCAAACATGCAATCAAGATGCACTAATAATTACTGGTGATTGGAATGCAAAAGCTGGAAACAAAGCAGAGTTGGAAAATATAGCTTTGGTGAAAGAAATGATGCTGGAGATCTCACGACAGAATTTTGCAAGACCAACAACCTACTCATTGCAAATACCTTTTTTCAACACTATAAACGGTGACTATACAGCCTCACCAGATGGAAAACACAGGAATCAAATCTGTGGAAAAAGATGCGAGAAAAGCTCAGTATCATCAGTCAGAACAAGACAAGGGGCCAACTGCGGAACAGACTGTCAACTGCTCCTATGAAAGTTGAAGTTGAAGCTAAAGAAAATTAAAACAAGTTCACGAGAACCAAAATATAACCTTGATTATATTCCATCTGAATCAGGAGACCATCTCAAGAATAGATTTGACACATTGAACACTAATGACCAAAGATCAGACGAGTTGTGGAATGACATCAAGGACATCATACATGAAAAAAGCAAAAGGTCGTTAAAAAGATGGGGAAGAAAGAAAAGACCAAAATGGATTTCAGAAGAGACTCTGAAATTTGCTCTTGAACGCAGAGTAGCTAAAATGAATGGAAGAAACCATGAAGTAAAAGAGCTAAACAGAAGATTTCAAAGGGCGGCTTGAGAAGATAAAGCAAAGCATTATAAGGAAGTGTGCAAAGACCAGGAGATAGAAAATCAAAAGAGAAGAGACACTCAGCATTTCTTAAGCTGAAAGAACTGAAGAAAAAATTGAAGCCTTGAGCTGCAATTCTGAAAGACTTATGGGCAGAACATTGAATGATGAAGGAAGCATCAAAAGAAGATGGAAGGAATACACAGTCACTGTTCCAAAAAGAACTGATCGATGTTCAACCATTTCAGGAGGTAGCATATGATCAAGAACTGATGGGTACTGAAGGAACAAGTTCCAGCTGCACTGAAGGAACCATCAAAAAAACAAGGCTCCGGGAACTGACGGAATATCAACTGAAATGTTAAACAGACACAGCACTGAAGGTGTTTACTTGTCTATGCCAAGAAATTCAGAAGACAGCTACCTGGCCAATCAACTGGAAGAGATCCATATTTATACCCATTCCAAAGAAAGGCGATCCAACAGAATGCAGAAATTATCAAACAATATCATTAATATCACACTCAAGTAAAATTTTGCTGAAGATCATTAAAAAACAGTTGTAGCACTACGCTGACAGGGAACTGCCAGAAATTCAAGCAGGATTCAGAAGAGGACATGGAACCAAGGACATCATTGCTGATGTCAGATAGATCCTGGCTTAAAGCAAAGAACACCAGAAAGACGTTTATCTGTGTCTTACTGACTATGCAAAGGCATTCGACTCTGTGGATCGTAACAAATTATGGATAACACTGCAAAGAATGGGAATTCTGGGACATTTAATTGTGCTCATGAGGAACCTGTAAATAGACCAAGAGGCAGTCATTTGAACAGAACAAGGGGATATTGTGTGGTTTAAAATCAGGAGAGGTGTGCATCAGGCTTGTATCCTTTCACCAGATTTATTCAATCTGCATGTTAAGCAACTAATCCCAGAAGCTGGACCATATAAAGAATGGGGCATGAGGATTGGCAGACGATTCGTTAACAACCTATGATTTGCACATGGCACAACCTTGCTTGCTGAAAGGGAAGAGGACTTGAAGCACTTACTGATGAAGATTAAAGGCTACAGCCTTCAGTATGATTACACTTCACCATAAAAATGAAAAAACTCCTCACAACTGGACCAATAAGCAACATCATGATAAATGGAGAAAAGAGTGAAATTGTCAAGGATTTCTTTTTACTTGGATCCACAATCAATGCCCATGGAGGCCTCAGTCAAGAAATCAAACGACATGTTGCACTGGGCAAATCTGCTGCAAAAGACCTCTGTAAAGTGTTCAAAAGCAAAAGATGTCACTTTAAAGACGAAAGTGCATCTGACTCAAGCCATGGTATTTTCAATCGCCTCATATGCATGTGAAAGCTGGACAATGAATAAGGAAGACCAAAGAAGAACTGATGCCTTTGAATTATGGTGTTGGTGAAGAATAGCGAATATATCATGGAGTGCCAGAAAAATGAACAAGTCTGTCTTGGAAGAAGTACAGCCAGACTGCTCCCTGGAAGGAAGGATAGCAAGACTTCGTCTCATGTACTTTGGACATGTTAACAGGAGGGACCAGTTCCTGAAGAAGGACATCATGCTTGGTAAGGGTAGATGGTCAGCAATAAAGAGGAAGACCCTTGATGATACAGACTGACACACTGGCTGCAACAACAGGCTCAAACACAGCAACAACTGTGGCGGTGGCAGAGGACCAGGCAGTATTTCTTCTGTTGTATATAGGGTCACCATGAGTTGGAACCAACTCATTGGCATTTAACAACTACAACAAGACAAAAATACTGTCTTTGGGAGAGTAAAGAAAAGAAAGCAATGGAGGGATGAAAAATTAGAAAAAACACTTGTTTTGGAAGAAAATAACGTCAAAAGAGAATTATACCTGAACTCCCTTAACAACTTCTGGCAATGGTGCTACATTGTAGACTATTACTTACCTAACTGTTCTGCAGAGGTACCACTTCAATTACAGCAGCTCTATTTTTCTGTTTTATACATCAAGGCATCAGGTAAGACTCTGGAGGAAAATGTGATTTCCACTATTTATTTTAAAAAAAATTAAAACCCCTACACAGATGATAAACTAAACAATATTTTATTAACACTAAGACTAATGTACTTTTATGAAGTAAAGTTTCTAATCTAGTCCTCTTAAATCAATAAGAGCTAACATTTACTGTGCATTTCCAACATCTTAACAATCACATAACTTTAAGGCAGATATTATTACAAACTATGTATATACAGTCCATATACAGAGACACAAAAAAACAATCCTTAAGTCCCACAGGAAGTGACAAAGTTGGAATTCAAATCATGGTCCAAAATCTGTACTTCAAGCTACTATGTAACTGTAGCTTCTCTTTCATCTCGAGCCTTTGAAATCCTCAATTTAAAATTTTGGACAAAGAAGAGGTTTCAACTGTAAAGTCAATAATCTCCTGGCACACAGGCATACACATCAACTCATCTCCCCCCTTTTCAAAGAAAAAAGCATCTTTCATAAATTATTATGAAATCTAACTCTGCCTCCTCTAAATGTAGGCTTCAAACAAGTAGATAAATCAGTAATTTAATGTTATTTTTCAAAGTGATAATAAGTGACTTGAAAATAATGCAATTATTAATGTTTTAAAACTATGCTAGGTTAGCATCATACATAAAACATCAAAGGTGTTTCCAAAACAGTATAAGTGTAAATGAAAATATTACCTTATATTACAATCATTTTAAATAAATGTCTTTGTTGAATTCTCCTCTTAACAAAAAAACAGGTCTTTATTTTGTCTATTTTAAAAATAAAGAAACAAGAGAGAATTATAAGTAGCATGCCGAGGGTCAGAATGAACAATAATGTGAAAATCAGAACCAGCATACGCAGAATTCCAAGACGTTAACTCATAATATCTAATGTGTTGTCAAGCAAAGTATATATGAAAGGCAGAATCTAGGATGATAACATAATTTTTTTCTCAAGTAAAGTAAGACCTATATATGATGAATCTATTCATTCAAGATAGATAAACGCCCAAAGGTCTTTTGGTGTTAGAAATAATTTATTTAGGCAGCATCTGCAACATCAGGTTGCCTTTTCAGAAATATTTTATAAGTAAGTCACATTACTGAATATACTAAGTCTGACTCACTTCTTGCCAACATATTCAATATTACCTACTAGGCTTAATCCTTAATTACTGAAAAAGCAGTAATTATGACACAAGCACTCAGTTATGTTTACTGTAAAATACCTTCACACTGATGATGAACTTCATGGTCAATTTGTTTGAGAATATCAATTTTATGCACAATGTTATGCTATATGATATGCAATATCCTATTTTAGATAGGTAAAATGCTTAATTTTTCTCCCCCACAACAGAGGTTTAAAATATTCAATTATGGATTCATTATGCAAAGGTAAGTTACTAGATTCAAATTACTGAAGTATCAATCTTTTAGTAAGTATTTTATTAAACTTTGTTTCATTCTTTTGAAATGATAAAATCTTTCGAAAGTTTTGTTTAGGAAATCGAAAATCGTAATTTGAATATTTTACGATATAAATTGGTAAGATGTTAATGCTTCTGAGTTAAACATATAATGAAGTTTTTCATGTTGACTGAGACCTACCATAGTTGCAAAAATTAGGAAAACTTCAAGAACATGTGCTTGTTTTTCTAAAAATGACTGCACATTTATACAGAAAAATACAGAAGGTAAACTATTTATCTTAAGTAAAAATTCTAAATACCTCGTTTTGATGATAATGGCTTAACTAAAAGAAGTAGCAAAATCATCTCTATTTACTGGAAATAATTTGCTCTCAATCTCACAAAAATATCTGCTTCACTTGCAAGCGGCCATCTAAGATGCATTAATTGGTCCCAACCACCTGGACTAAAGGAGAATGAAGAACACCAAAGACACCAGGAAAGTATTAGCCCCTAAGAGACAGAAAGTGACACATAAACCAGACACTTCATCAGCCTGAGACCAGAAGAACTAGATGGTGCCCGGCTACCACCAATGACCGCCCTGACAGGGAACACAACAGAGTCTCTGATGGAGCAGGAGAAAGGTGGGGTGCAGAACTCAAATTCTAGTAAAAAGATCAGACTTAATGGTCTGACTGAGACTGGAGGAACCCCAGAAAGCACGGCCCCCTGACTCTGTCAACCCAGAACTAAAACAATTCCTGAGGCCAACTCTTAGACAAAGATTGGACGGGACTGTGGACATAAAATGATACTTGCAAAGAATGTACTTCTTAGCTCAAGAAGACTAAATGCAGCTTCTGTCCAGAGGTGAGATGAGAAGGCAGAGAGAGTTAGGAGCTGGTTGAATGGACATGGGAAATCAGGGGCGGAAAGGAGGAACGTGCTGTCACAGTACAGGGAGGCCAATTAGGGTCACATAACAATGTTTGTATAAATTTTTGTATAAGAGACTAACTTGAAATGTAATCTTTCACTTAAACTACAATAAACAAAAAAAAAATATGCTTCAATTAACTTTGGTAATTCAAAATTACTTCAAGACTTAATTTAAATGCTTTATATAAGACAGCTTTCTGATATCCCTATAAAACTGATTGGGATGGGGATGAAACCAATTATCAACACTGCTTCTAAATTTACATTATTTATTTTAAATATAAAACCCATATCTAGGAGCTATGAAGCTAATATGTAACATTCACGTACTATCTTAGGCATCAATAAGGATGCCAGATGTTCCACATGAATAAATTTTCCAAATAATCTGAGAACCACTTTTTAAAGCGATGGTTAGTTTTAGCCATTTAACCATATACCTCAGCCTTCTTTAAACAACGGCTAATAAAATTTTAACATTTTATAATGATTCAAGATCATATTATATAAGTATTATATAGTAATGATGAGATCCCAGAAGACAATTTGGGTAAAATGAGATGTTTAACAAGACTAAATGGCTCTTCAATTCTATGATCTCACAGCTCTTCAAATTAAACTATTTATTTTTTGTAAAGCATCTAACAGTGCCTGTTTTGAACATTAATTCTCTTCTTTGATCTGCTAGGCCTTGCCTCTAACTACACGCTTTACCCTTTTTGCAGACTGTGGAAATTAGCTAAATTTCTTATAATTGTATGCAAAATAACATTACTGATTTTAGACAATAGTCTGAGTAAGGGCAAGAGAGCCTTCAGCCAGAGATAATGTAGAACAGCTTTAAGAAGTGCTATTTTTGTTCTGCTTTTATGGGTAAAGAAAGGGTTTGCACTCTGAACATTCATATCTACTTTAATTCCAAACGCCATTTGGTGGAGTATTTCTATACAGAAGATTTTAACCAAATGTTAGTTTTTTGTCTATATGAAATAAAAGTCTACTTAGTGATTTTAATTTTACTAACCAAATACACTTTATCTGAATTAGCCAAAAATTCCGACACAATCTTAGTTCAAATTACTTCCTTAACTGCATAAAGAGCAGCAAAACATATTTGACAAACATGATTCTCCCCAATCTCATGAGTGCTACAGAAAAACTAAACGTACTAACCTCCTAGCAAGGATATCATTAAAACAAAGATTTAAGAGTCAGTTTTACGTTAAATGAAGAACCTGTACTTAGAAAAGAAAAAGTAAAGATTCAGGATTGCCTTCAGAAATTTAAGTTTTGCAAATCCTTCACTGAATTACCAACTATTTTTCCTATGTAAACAGTATAGTGTCTGACACAAATTAAGCATACAATGTTAATGGAATAAATAACAAATGTTGATTTTTCCTGCCTCCTTAATTCATTTTCTAGTTTAAAAAAACAAATACGGAGTAGCGTAATCTATATTTCAAGAAAAGAGTCAAGTGACTCTTTAACAACGATAGAACACTGGAGAGCAGGCAGCAAAGTATACTGAATTGGATCTGGACTCAGACCATATACTGAGACCTTGGGCAAATCAAAATTCACAGTGTTCATACTAGTTTAGGGCTAATAAATAAAGCTCTGAGGGGAAAACTCAGATACTGAGAATGTACTACATTCAAGGCACTATAGGTGCAATGAGAGAACCCAAACTACTTGGGTATACAGCATAAAAAGATGTCAAGTTAAGCTATATGAGTATCAGAAATAAAGCAACACATGCAGATGGTAACCCATATATACATATTTTCCTAACCAAAAACTGACAAAGTTGGCAAATCAATTCTTAAATAGATTGAAAATAAGTCAAATTAAATTAAATTGTACTGGAAGATCCATGATATCCAAGCAACATCATAGAGGTCAGTGACAGAAGTCAGAACTATCTCAATGGGCACATGCAGACCAGAAAAGATGAAATCATGCAGGGCTTTAAGGTACAAGTAGAACTGAAAATGACTCAAGAACCGTATCATTTATTTATAGTATCTTCCTTGTGCCAGATGCTTTCATCACTATCTCCACAACCACTCTGTATGATGTAAATATTATCATACCCCTCCCCTCTACCCGTATTTTTTCAGACAAAGAAACCATGACTAACACAGCTAAAGATTATATAGGAAGATTGTAGGGGAGCTCACGTTAGAATTCAAAGCTGTTTGACTTTCCACTATGTAACATACCTCCTCTACACAGTCACAGGGTAGTAAAATGAACAGATATACTTGTGAGGGATAAAACAATTTAGATGGAGCAGAAAGTTCCTGTACAAGAGTAATCTAAGGTAAGGCTGAAAAAAGTAAACAAAAAACAGGAGGGAGAGCACTGGGATAAAGCTTAAATTTAGATTTTACCCTATGTACCAGTGCAGTGCGATGGATCTCTTTTATATGGCCTTTCTAACTGTGGTGTTGTTTCCCACCGAAAGACTGGGTAGGGCTATGCAAATAAGGTGCTTGTGGCCCACCAAGGGACTGGAAAGCTTGCTAATAAGACACATAAGGTGCACGGCACCCTTGTGGGGGTAGGACCATGCAAATAAGGTATATGGAACTCTAACAAAGGGACTGGTCAGTTTTGCTATCCTACTGGGCTTAAAATGAGTCATCCTAGAGGTGGAAAGAGTTGCGGGGGGGAACCTCACTACCACCAAGAAAAGATGGGAGCAGAGTGTGTCCTTTGGACCTGGGGTCACTGCGCTGAGAACATCCTAGACCTAGGAGACAGAGAAAGCTGTAACACCTGAGACAGCACAAGACGGTGAGAAGCAGCGGCAGTGAAACAGCAGCAGCAGAACCAGGAGACCAGCGCGAGATGGTGCAGTGGGTTTCCTGGCCCACAGAGCAAGGTGTTTACAGCAAGTATGCTGACCCACAGAGCGAGAGAGCTGTGTGTCTTCAGGCAGGAGGTTTTCTGGTGGGGTAGAGTGCCTCTGGGCACTTGACAGAGGAGCTAGGCTTGCAGACCCACAAAGCAAAAGAGCTGAGTGCCTTCAGGCCGAGGCTTACTGGCAGAGTGGCGTAACCATAGGTACTTACTGGTGGAACTGAAGAGCTCTGTAACACTTGTCCAAGCAGCACAGAGGCCAGCTAGCCCAAGAGGCCCCAGGTGCTGAGGGCTGAGAGGCCGAGGGCCAGGGAGATGCCTGCCTGTGGGCATGGTCAAGAACCTGTCCTGACTGAAGAACTGTATCCTGAGTCATTCCTGATCCTGAATTGTAACCTGTTACTTCCCTAATAAACCCCATAACTGTGAGTATGGTCTGTGAGTTCTGTGTGGCCGCTGCAATGAATTATCACATCCAGCAGAGAAGCAGAGTGCCATGGGAGGGGTGGCTGGTGTCAGAATTGGTAAAAAATTTGGAGAGAGGAGGTATGTCTGACTTCTGCTTCATAGGAATTAGCCTTGGGCTGTTGATCTTGATTCTCCTTCCTCCTTGTGAAGTTAGAGGAGGTCAGATGCCCCTGCCATGCCATTTTTGTAACCAGGATTAACTAAATTGAGTTCTGTGGGCATATGCTGGGTTCCTTGCATTCACTATATAAAATTTAAAGCAGTATTTTAATTTTGATTCTTCTCCTAAATAAAATGTAAGAATGTTCTGGATCAACTAGACTAGAAGGCCACTTTTTAACTCAGGGTCTGTCCTGCCTGCCTCTGTGTTTACTACTAAATTGGATTCCAGTGATCTCCCAAAGCAGTTTATTTCAAATTGTTGGTTATGACTTATTAGTGGGTCATAAAATCAAGTTTTTTTTTTTTTAAAATAAATGAAAAGAGAATGCATCACACATAATAAGGCTAAGTACTGTTTTGTGATACTTCTGTTTCAGCTGACAAGTGGAGAAGTTATTAATTGTTACATTTTACTATGAGTTGAGGTCAAAAACTTGTAACTCTGTGATCTAGAGACTCATCCTCTTGGGTTTCTGCAAAATTCTCAAATTTTAGACACACTGTTACAAGCAACGGATCACCACTGAGGAGGACAACATAAAAGCAGGACTTCGGGGAATTTCCCAAATTGAAACGAAGGTTAAAGCAAGTTCATCAGTTACAACAATGCCAAAGATTAGGACAAGAACTAGGATGCTATTATTAGACTGTACAGATAGAAGCAATACAAAACACCAAATTACTACTAGGCTTACTATTAAGGTAAAGAACCCTGATATATAAAGAAATCATTCCATGAATTTTCCAAAGTTACAGCACTGGCAGTGGGATGTTTTTCTTCTATTTAGATATAGAATTTAGAAAGGCAGCAACCTAAAAGCACCAGTAAAATGTGCTTTGATTACAGAAGTCGGTGACAAGAAAGAAAGCAAATGCAGCACTCTGTTGCTGTTGTGTGCCATCGAGTCGATTTCGACTCATAGCGAATCTACAGGACACAGTAGAACTGCCCCATAGGGCTTCCTGGGCTGTAATCTTTACTGGAGCAGATTGTCAGATCTTTTCTTCTGTGGGCCCACTGTTTTGAACCACAGACCTTTTGGTTAGCAGCCAAGCGCTTAACCACTGCACCATCAGGGCTCCTTGGCAGCACTCCACTGAAGA